TCTTCTGCTAGCTTTTGAATTTGTTTGCTCTTGCTCCTCTAGTTCTTTTAATTGTAATGTTAAGGTGTCAATTTTAGATCTTTCTATCTTTCTGATGTGGGCATTAGTGCTATAAATTTTCCTCTTAACACTGCTTTGGCTGTGTCCCAGAGATTCTGGTATGTGTTGTCTTTGTTCTCATTGGTTTCACAAAGCTTATTTATTTCTGCCTGACCTTTCTTTCTGGCTGCCCTTAACATTTTTTCCTTTGTTTCAAGCTTGGAGAATCTGACGATTATGTATCTTGGGTTTGTTCTTCTTGAGGAGTATCTTACTGGCATTCTCTGTATTTCCTGAATTTGAATGTTGCCCTGTCTTGCTAGGTTGGGGAAGCTCTCCTTGATAATATCCTGAAGTGTGTTTTCCAACTTGGTTTCATTTTTCCCATCACTTCTGGTACACCAATTAATCGTAGGTTTGGTCTTTTCACATAGTACCATATTTCTGGGAGGCTTTGTTCATTCATTTTTATTTTTTTCTTAATCTTGTCTTCACACCTTATTTCAGTAAGTTGATCTTCAATCTCTGATATCCTTTCTTCCACTTGATCGATTTGGCTATTGATACTTATGTATACTTCACAAAGTTCTCATGCTGTGTTTTTCTGCTCCATCAGGTCGTTTATGTTCTCCTCTAAACTGGTTATTCTAGTTAGCAGTTCCTGTAACCTTTTACAAAAGTTCTTGGCTTCCTTGCATTGGGTTAGAACATGCTCCTTTAGCTCATAGAAGTTTGTTATTACCACCCTTCTGAAGCCTACTTCTGTCAATTAGTCCACCTCATTCTCTGTCCAGTTTTGTGCCCTTGCTGGAGAGGAGTTGCAATTATTTGGAGGAGAAGAAGCATTCTGGTTTTTGGAATTTTCAGCATTTTTGCACTGTTTTTCCTCATCTTTGCACATTTATCTGCCATTGATCTTTGAGGCTGATGACCTTTGGATGGGGTTTCTGTGTGGGGGTTCTTTATATTGATATTGATGTTGTTGCTGATTGTCAGTTTTTCTTCTAACAGTCAAGGCCCCTCTTCTGCAGGTCTGCTGGGGTTTATTGACCCCTGTTGGGAGGTCTCTCCCAGTCAAGAGGGACAGGGCTAAGGGACTCACTTGAGGAGGCAGTCTGTCCCTTAGCAGAGCTGGTGTGCTGTGCTGGGAGAATTCCTCTTGTTAGGATCAGCCGTTCTCTTCAGAGCCAGCAGGCAGGAACAATTAAATCTGCTGAAGCTGCATCCACAGCTGTCCCTTCTTCCAGGTGCTCTGTCCCAGAGAGATGGGGGTTTTGTCTGTAAGCCCTTGGCTAGGGCTGTTACCTTTCCTTCAGAGATACCCTGCCCAGTGAGGAGGAATCTAGAGAAGCAGTTTGGCCACAGACGCTTTGCCATGCTGTGGTTAGCTCCACCTAGTCTAGACCTCCCAGCATCCTTAACTGTCAGGGGAAAACTGCCTACTAAAGCCTCAGTAATGGTGTATTCCCCTCCCCACACCAAACTGGATCATCCCAGGTCAACTTCAGGCTGCTGTGCTGGCAGCGAGAATTTCAAAATTTCAAGCCAGTGATTCTTAGCTGGCTGGGTTCCAGGAGAGTGGGACACACTGAGCAAGACCACTTGGCTCCCTGGCTTCAGCCCCGTTTCCAGGGAGAGTGAATGGTTCTGTCTTTCTGGGGTTCCAGGCACCAATGGGGTACAAAAAAGACTCCTCCAGCTAGCTCAGTGTCTGCTCAAACAGCTGCCCAGTTTTGTGCTTGAAACCCAGGGCCCTGGTGGTGTAGGCACACAAGGGAGTCTCCTGATCTGCAGACTGTAAAAGCTGTGGGGAAAGCATAGTAACCCAGCTGGGTAGCACAGTCCTTCATGGCTTCTCTTGGCTTGGGGGAGGGAGGTCTCCTGGCACCTTGCACTTCCTGGGTGAGGCAATGCCCTACCCTGCTTCTGCTCACCTTCCTTGGACTGCTCCCATTGCCTAACAAGTCCCAATGAGATGAGCTGGGCTCCTCAGTTGGAAATGTAGAAATCACCCACCTTCTGCATTGGTCTCCCTGGGAGCTGCAGCCCGGAGCTGTTCCTATTCGGCCATGTTGGCCTCTCCTTTGAATTTATTTATTTCAAAATATTTTCAACTTTATTAAGATTAAATTTTGTACAACATCTGTGGCCATTTATTTTATTTTAAATCTTTTAATGGGTATATAATAATTGTTCACATTTGGGAGGTATATGTGATATTTTGATGTGTATACAGTGTGTAGTGACCAAAGCAGGGTAATTAGGATATCTGTCACCTCAAACATTAGTCATTTCTTTGTGTTGGGGACATTCAAATTCCTCTCTTTTAGCTGTTTTGAAATACACAATACATAGTCATTAAACTTGTCACCCTCCTATGCCATAGAACAGTTCAACTTACTTCTCCTATCTAACTGTAATTTCGTACCCATTAACCAAACTCTCCCTGTCTTCCCCTCCCCTATACCCTATCTAGCTTCTGTTAACCATTATTCTATTCTATACTTCTATGAGATCAACTGTTTCAGTTTCCATGTATGAGTGAGAACATGTGGTATTTGTCTTTATGTGCCTGGGCCTTGGTACATTAAGTGGAATTATTTCACTTAATATCGTGTCCTCCAGTTTTATCCATGTTGACACAAATGACAAGATTTCATTCCTTTTAATGACTGAATTCTATTCCATTGTATATATACCATATTTTCTTTATTCATTCATCCATTGATGGATACTTGAGTTGATTCTATATCTTGACTATTTTGAGTAGTACACTGCAGCCATTTTAAGTGCAAGAGTTTTGACAGATTTATATGCACCTAATCTCCTCATCAATCGAATTATAGAACCTGTTTATCACCCAAAAGCTTTGTTTGTGCCCCTTCCAGGTCAATTTCTATTTCCAATTTCAGTCTCAGGCAACCATTTGCCTTTTGTTTCTACAGATTAAATTTTTTATTTCTTTAGTTTCTTAAATAATAAAGAATTGACCTTTATGTGTGGATTCTTTGTCTTAACATAACCTTTTAGAGACTCATCTTTGACCCATGATGATGCATCTATGAACAGTTCATTTCTTTTTATTGCCTGTAGTACTCTACCATATGAATATACCACAATTTATTTATCTGCCCACCTATTAATTGTCATTTGGGTCGTTTTGCAGCTTGTTATGAATAAAACTATCAACATTCATGTTTTTTATATTTGAAAATATGTTTTAATTTGCCTTGGGAAAATATCTGAGTAAAATTGCAAGTATGTATGTATGGTAAGTGTATATTAAACTGTTGTTATTTGTACCCATTTACATCCCCACCAGCAATGTATGAAGATTCCAGTTGCTCCACATCTTCATCAAAACCTAATGTGGTTAAAATCAGTTGAAGATATCTGTCTGGATCTGTGTCTAAATTCTGTATTTTGTTTGTCTTTTGTTCATTGATCTACATGATATTATGCCAAAACCACGCTGTCTTGATTACTGTGGCTTCATAGTAAGTCTTGAAATTAGGTATTGTGAGCTCTCCAGCTCTGTTCTTCTTTTTCAAAATTGTTTTTACTATTTATGTCCTTCACATTTGCAGATAAGTTTTAGGGCTAGCTTTTTGATGTTAACAGATGTTTGGGATTTTTATTGAAATTACATTGAACCTATAATCTAATTTGGAGAGAGTAGACATTTTAGCAAAATTGAATATTCTGATTCATGATAATAGAACATTTCACCATCTGTTTAGGTCTTCTTTAATTTCTCTCAGGAATTTTTTATAGTTTTAAGTGTATAGGTCTTACATATAGCTTGTTAAATGTATTCCTTAGTTTTCTTCATGTTTTGAATGTTATTATAAATTGTATTATTTATTTACATTTCCAATGTTTATTGCTAGTGTATAACAATACCATAGATTTATTTGTATATTGACCTTTTATCCTGTGACCTTGATAATCACACTTATTAGTTCCTCTGGACTTCTTAGGATTTGCAACATATAGAGATTATGTTATTTGCAAATAAAAAATTATTTTTTTATTTCCTAATGGTATGCTTTTTATTTCATTTTCTTGCTTTATTGAATTGGCTAAAACTTCCACCACAATGTTTAGTAGAAATGGTTACTGAAGATAGCATTTCCTTGTTCCCAATCTTAGAAGAAAAGTGTTAAGCCTTTCACCATTAGCTTTGTTAGTGCCAGGCTTTTTGTTGTTGTTGTTGTTGTTGTTTGTTTTTTGTTTTTTAATAGATTCTGTTTACCAGTTTGAGGAAGAGCTTTTCTTGCCAGTTTTTAAGAAATGAATGTTGATGTTTTTTGTCAGATGTCTTTTCTGCCCCCATCCAAATTATCACATGATTTTTCTCTTTGATTTTGTTAATATAGTGAATTACTTTGATTAATCTCCTAATGTTAAACCAACTTGGCATTTTTGAGATAAAAATCACCATCTTGTTCTAGTTTACTATACTCCTTACATATTGCTAATTTTTAAAGGAATTTTACATCTTTGTTCCTCAGAGATACTGGTGTATAGATTTATTTTCCTGTGATGTTGTTAGTACCAAGATAATTCTGGCCTTATAAAATAAACTGGAAAGTGTTCACTTCTCCTCAATATTCTAGATGATATTTTGTAGGACTAGTATTTTTTCTTTCTTTTTTTTTTTTTTTTTTTTTGAGACGGAGTTTCACTCATGTTACCCAGGCTGGAGTGCAATGGCGCGATCTTGGCTCACCGCAACCTCCGCCTCCTGGGTTCAGGCAATTCTCCTGCCTCAGTCTCCTGAGTAGCTGGGATTACAGGCACGCATCACCATGCCCAGTTAATTTTTTGTATTTTTAGTAGAGACGGGGTTTCACCATGTTGACCAGGATGGTCTCGATCTCTTGACCTCGTGATCCACCCGCCTTGGCCTCCCAAAGTGCTGGGATTACAGGCTTGAGCCACCGCGCCCGGCCTCTTTCTTAAATATTTGATAGAATATACCAGTAAAGCCATCTGGTTTTCTGTGTGGGAAAGTTTTTAATTGTGAATTTAATTTATTTAACATATTTGGGAATATTCAGTTGTTACATTTGTTTTTGAGTCAGTTTTGGTCATTTTTATCTTTCAAAAATGTTTCCATTTCATCAGGGTTGTTAATTGATTTCCCTTTTAAGGTGTCTTATTTTTATTCTCTTCAACTTAAAATTAAAATTTTAATTATGCCTTCCACTTATAACAGACCAAGAAAACAAGATCCCTTGTATTATAGAGTCTTAGTAATTGTGTGAATCAATACAAAATGTTTGGAGTGTAATTTTGTGCCAATAAAAGGTGATAGCTTCAGTACACCTGCATTGGACCCAGCCATTCTAACTCTGGGAATTTTTTTCAGAAGTATAATTGTTTATGTACTTACAAAGATCTAAGAATATTTATAGCATCATTTTTTTTCATAATTAAAAATGGAAACAATAATGAAAACTAATTAATAGAGAGCTATCTAGTAAAGAATGAGACATCTGCATAATGGAATCCTATGTGAAAAAAGAGAGGTAGAGTAATATGTGCTGATATGGAAAGTTATATTTTATATGTTGTTAAATGAGGAAGAGAGGTTGCAAACAGATTTTCACAGCCTTTGCAAAAAAGGATATGGAGATATATGCTTGGAAAATTTCTCTAAAATTGTATGGCAAGTAGTTGGGTTGGGTCAATTTAAGGAATTGGAAGAAAGATTATTCCCAACTTATACCCTTAGGCACCAGTTGAAATTCTCAGACTTAACAGGTATACTTAAAAATACTAAAAATGAAAACCACAATGCAGACAAATGTTTTATAATTCCTACTTTTTCTGTCTTACTCCAGCACTAGACAGATTTCCAATTTACATTTTGTCAGTTCCTTCAGGTTGCAAACATAACTGCGTACATAAGCTGTCCTTATGCTCTCTCTACTTTACAGTGGTCCAGCTGGTAATCAGGGACATGCCATGGGGAAAAAAAAATGGCTGGAAGAATCTTGCTCAAATGCATGCAGATGCACATACGTTCAGAGGAGTGAAAACCTGAGGCAATAGCACAGAATAGAGTTCAATTTAGGGGTGGAACCTCTTACAGTATTCTGTAGGGTCTACAGGACTAAGAGCAGGAGCCTTTCCAAAGTGAATGAAGGAGTCATCAGGCTTTTTAGAGGATTTTGGTGAAGTTAAGGTTTTGATCAAGACCAATATACAGACATTTTTGGGATATTGGTGCATGTTTTAGCGGCCAATTGTGGTGCCTCCTATTGTGGGAAGGAGATTGATTTGGGCTCCAAACAACTGGAAAAACTTGAGAAAAGTCTAAGGACAGAGGGGGTTAACTGTTTAGACTCAGAGACACCCGGAAACATAGACTTGAGGCTTTGCAGGAAGGCAATCCTGGTATTAAGAAGTCCCTGATTGGTAAGATTTCAGGTTTTCCCACCAAACAAAACCTTTCAAAAGTCCTAAAACTTAATTGGTCAAAAATGGGAACAACTTAGAATTTGTTCTGCTCCCACTAGACTGATTGCCTGGGGACTCCCTGAAAGTGGGCTAATTAAGAAGAGGTACCTCGGTGACTAAGTACCTTTGGGAAGAAGGGAAGAGGGAGGGGAGCAGAGAGAGAGAGGACCTCCAATTTTGAACAACACTTATTTCTAGGCTTTTTCTAAGCTCTTCTGTGAGGACAGTTTCCTTCTTCACCATGAGTAGAGACGGCAGCAACTTGCCTTGGCCCCTGTGCATGGCTCAGCACCAGCAAGACAGGAGGTAGCTTCAGTGGAGCCCTAGAGAAAATTAGAAGGGGCAGCGAAGCCCCTCCATAGAGGTGAGTGTCTCCCTAAGGGGTCTCCTCTGTGAAGGAGAGGGTGAGAGCAGTTTAGGGTGGGACGTTCTAGGTCTACCTGTCTTCTAGATCTTGAAGTGTGGGCTGGGGGAGCAGCAGAGTGTACAGGCTAATCTCCAAATCCTACCTGCATAGCAGAGAGCACTTCCAGCTCCTCTCAGACCCAATGCTGGACATAGACACAGCTCCCTGATAGTCGGGGTCCTTCTCGCTCATGGTTCCTCATCTTGTGCTGGTTATGCAGAGGTTGTGGAAAAGCAGACCACTGAGCTTTCCTATCAATCCTGCCCCTGAAGCTTTGTTAACCATTAGTGAAACAGTGAAAGAGACGGGGAGGGGGTTACCTAAGGAAGGTAAGGGAGGGAAGGAAAATGGTAATGTGAAGGAGGAAGGAAAACCAACTGGAGTAGGATTGAGGGAATGTGGCCCAACCTGCCCTGGCCAGAACAGGATTATTTAATCATACATATACATCCTATACATAAATATATGACATATATATCTTATATATTTAAATATTTCATAAATAAAACATATGATATATATTTTATATATCTTTTGTTAGTAAGATAAGATAAATAATATAATAAATAATATAAGGTATGGTAGTTAGCTGTGTAGGTGATGAAATCTGACAGACCTGGGTTCAATCTTGACTCAGACAGCTGTTAGTTGGGTTCCCTTGTGATGAATTAATATATAACTTAATACATAATATATATCTATGATATATATTATGTAATATCTAGCTATATAAAAGTTATATATGATATATAACTACTTAATTTATGTATGTAAATTTTATGTGCCAGCCTCAGAATACAACAGTGAAGATATGTCCTAGCCCTTATGAAGTTTATATTCTAATGTCATAGATAAATACTAAATACACTTAAACTTCCTCTTCCTCTTCCTTGCTTAATTTTTTTTCCCTGTGGCGTGATTAATAAACTAGACTATTACATATTTTTCTTATGTGTCTTGTGTGTGGTCTAGCCCCCACCTCTTCCTTGAATATAAGCTCCACAGGACATGGAATTTTCTTTGTTCTGTTCATGACTACATTTGTTTATTGTTAAATGAAGGAATTAAGTAAATAATTAGACATAATACCAGGTAACAACAACTGTTATGAAAAAAATGGAAGTCCAATAATGAATGTATCTTTCTGTTTTGGGCAGAGTGATTGGAAAGAGTCTTTGGAAGGGTGACATTTGAATAATGGGATGAAGCGACAGGCTGAGAGCCAGGCATCCTTAACAGCTGGCAGTCCCAGATCTATTCCTTATCTGTGCCAGGTGCCGTCTTTCCTTCCTCCCTCAACTTTGGAAGGAAAATGGAATTAGGGAAGAATGGATTTGCTCTGGGAAATTATCCCAAGCTCCAGGGTTCTCATTAAGAGATCTTGCTGCTCTGTAAAATGGAGATTTTAAAATTTGGAACAGCAGGGATTTTAAAATTTTTCTGCAGGCCCTAAGGTGGATTCATGCACTACCATTACAGATGAGAGCTGGGGTTTAAAGTTCCATCCTTTGAACATCATATAAATCTGTGCCAGATGCCTTTATGTCATCTGGCACAGGTAACCTAAGAGAAATTAGGGCAGCTCCAAGACCAGAGGGACCTGATTGACTCAGCTTCAAAACTGGCCTATTTAAAAGGTCTTAGCCTCTGCCTGCTGACAGAAGCTGCATCTAGTGGGGAAAAAGACCAGGAAGGTATTTCACCACCAATAGAAGATGTCTTCACCCACTCCAGGGGGCTGGTTACACTGGGAAGTGAGAGCCTCACATGTAGACTTGGGGTGACAACATGTCCCTCAAGCTATGTGCTGAGCACAGTAGCAGGAACATGTCACCTGGTTCTCAGGTTGGAAATAGTTTCTTATCCTAATCTTTCTTTCTTCTCTCTAGAGAGCAGGACCATGTAGAGCAATGCCACCTCTCTTTTAATCCTTGGGCTTCAAAAGAAGCAGAAATTAAGGACTAAATGATGGATAACCACTCTAGTGCCACTGAATTCCACCTTCTAGGCTTCTCTGGGTCCCAAGAATTACACCAGATTCTTTTTGCTATATTCTTTTTCTTCTACTTGGTGACATTAATGGGAAACACAGTCATCATCGTGATTGTCTGTGTGGATAAACGTCTGCAGTCTCCCATGTATTTCTTCCTTGGCCACCTCTCTGCCCTAGAGATCCTGATCACAACCATAATTGTCCCCATGATGCTTTGGGGATTGCTGCTCCCTGGGATGCAGACAGTGTCTTTGTCTGCATGTATTGCTCAACTTTTCCTGTACCTCGCTGTGGGGACCACGGAGTTTGCATTACTTGGAGTGATGGCCGTGGACCGTTATGTGGCTGTGTGTAACCCTTTGAGGTACAACATCATTATGAACAGCAGTACCTGTATTTGGGTGGTAATTGTGTCATGGGTGTTTGGATTTCTTTCTGAAATCTGGCCGGTCTATGCCACATTTCAGTTTACCTTCTGCAAATCGAATTCCTTAGACCATTTTTACTGTGACCGAGGACAATTGCTCAAGCTGTCCTGTGACAACACTCTTTTCACAGAGTTTATCCTCTTCTTAATGGCTGTTTTCGTTCTCTTTGGTTCTTTGATCCCTACAATTGTCTCCTACACCTACATCATCTCCACCATCCTCAAGATCCCATCAGCCTCTGGCCGGAGGAAAGCCTTCTCCACCTGTGCCTCCCACTTCACCTGTGTTGTGATCGGCTACGGCAGCTGCTTGTTTCTCTATGTGAAACCCAAGCAAACGCAGGGAACCGAGTACAATAAGATAGTTTCCCTGTTGGTTTCTGTGTTAACCCCCTTCCTAAACCCTTTCATCTTTACTCTCTGGAATGACAAAGTCAAAGAGGTCCTCCAAGATGGAGCAAAACGCTGCTGTCAACTCCTCAAAGATTAGCTGTTCTCGAAGTCAGTGTTAGGTGGTACAAGCCTCACTGTCAATTATTAAGTCACCTAGAGAACTCTAACTCCTCTCTTCTCTTATCATCATTACAAAAGTCAAAGAGTGTGTACACACTATGGAAGTAGATTAGGCTCGTAAAAATTAAATCCATTCTCTGCCCGGGAGAATCTCATAGCCTTAATTCCTGCCTATTTCCACTGTTGAACATATTCTTGTGATTTGGGAGAGACTAGTGAAAGGAAATGCATATGTATTTTTAAGAGTTCTATTAGTCCAATAAATTTTCTTATAGTCTACCTCTGAAAATGTATTTTCTGGGGAAGGGAGGAATTGAGGAGGGAGGTGGACTGAGAGAGGTATCCTAATCAGAGTACAAAGGTAGAGATGCTCACTTTGGTCCTTCATCAACTGTTGCTAAGTCCTTTCCTCTATTTTTGTGCAACTTTTTGACAAGATGACCATATATATTTTAGATATCCTAAGGCTCTTTTTCTCTGCCCCACTGACACTGCAAAGTAAGTGTAACATGTTTATGTTTTGTCACAGAATTAGTCTAGAATGGTGACATGAGGATGGGAATGCTTCTCATTCAGCAAATCTTTGTGGTGTAAAAAGATAAAAATATTTGAGGATAAAAATGGGGGAAAAGTTATTTTTGTTAAGCTTCAGCAGATTTCTTTCACTGCCTATCTTTGTGATGGGCATAGGGACGGGGCAAATAAGAACTAAATGACTAATTCTAGAGAGCATCCAGTATTTTATAGCTGTTTAAAACAACTATGTCTGTTCAGGCTGTATCCAGATATAGACTTCAAACTTTATAATTTCTTTTGATTCTTCGTCTCTCAAATCCAACAGTCTTAATACCATCATGTGTATTTTCTCTGTGGGCAGAATTAAAAAAAAAAATAAGAGGCTATCTTTTTGACTCCCAGATTTCTAGCAATTCCAAGGATTGGCTGTTTGGTAATCTAACTGTTAGAATTTCACATAATATTGGAAGAAGGGCTTATAAGGAAGAAATTTACCTAAACAACAACAATCAGCAGATCCTGCCAGCCCTAAAGTAAGTGAGAACATTGAGCTGTTCAGCAGTAGGATGATGAGGTTACTGAGAATTTTAAAGAGGACTGTGTGAGGATGCCTTGTTGTCTTGTCTTGTGAGGAGCAACAACCATCATGTATGGATTGGGTAGATTGCATTGTATTAAAGCACCAGACATGGTGGGGAATGGGCTTTAAATTCAGCCAGTCCATGCTCTGCAAGCCAACCAATGGGCCCTGGTGGGACTGCATTGGCTGGAGGAAGGGGAGACTTTTGCTTAAACAAAGGTGCCCATAGTTTCCAAGCCCAGTTAATGAGGATCTGTTCTAACCAGAAAGATTACCATTTTTCTAATTCATTAACCCAGAGATGTATCCTTTAACAGATGAGAAAATAGAGGCTCAGAGAATTTAAATAACTTGCCAGAGTTTACTTAGCCATTCACTACATCACATCCATCGAATTGGAAAAACATAAAACTCTGAGAATACTAAGTATTGATCTGAATGCTGGAGAATAGATTTTTTAAAAATCAACTTCTGGTGGAAACATAAGATATAAGATTCTGTTATAAAGACACTTGCACACGTATGTTCACTGCAGCACTGTTTACAATAGCAAAAACTTGGAACCAACCCAAATGCCCATCAATGATAGATTGGACAGGGAAAATGTGGTACATATACACCATGGAATACTATGCAGTCGTAAAAAACGATGAGTTCATGTCCTTTGCAGGGACATGGATGAACCTGGAAACCATCATTCTCAGCAAACTGACACAAGAACAGAAAATCAAAACCGCACGTTCTCACTCATAGGCGGGTGTTGAACAATGAGAACACATGGACAGAGGGAGCAGAGCATCATACACTGGGGTCTGTGGAGGAGAGTGGGGGGGGACAGTGGGGAGTAGGGAGTTGAGGCAAGATAACATGGGGAGTAATGCCAAATATAGGTGATGGGGATGGAGGCAGCAAACCACATTGCCATGTGTGTACCTATGCAACAATCCTGCATGTTATTCACATGTACCCTAGAACCTAAAGAGCAATAAAAAATATATATTAAAAAAAGCTACACTAGAAAAAAAAAGATGTAAGAGCTAAATAATCAGATAGATTTCTATAATTAAGTTCTAGTATAGTCATAATTAAATAGTGGTAGTCCATTTTGTGTTGCTATAACAGAATATAAATAATACTAGCCTGGATTATTTATAATGAAAATAAACTTATTTGGCTTATGATTCTGGACACTGAGAATTTATTTGGCTTATGATTCAAGAGCGTAACACAGGCATCTGGCAAGGGTCTTCATGCTGTGTCATTGTATAGTGTAAGGTAGAAGGGCAAGAGAGGGTGAGAATGAGAGAGCAAGAGAGGGCCAAACGCACTTTTATAACAGATCCACCCTCGGAATAACAAACCCACTCCTGTGAAAACAGCACTGATTCATTCATGAGGGGATATCCCTTATGACTTAATCACCTCTTAAAGGTCTTACCTCTCAACAATGTTACAATGGCAATTAAACTTCCACATGAGTTTTGGAGGGGACATTCATATCATAGCATTCCACCCCTGGTTCCCCAAAAGTAACATCCTTCTCACATCCAAAACACATTCATCCCATCCCCATAGTTGCTAAATGTCTTAACGGATTCCAGCACCAACTCAAAAGTCCAAAGTCAAGAGTCTCATCTAAATCAGATATGGGTGAGATTCAAGGCATGATTTGTCCCAAGGAAAATTTCTCTTCATCTGTATAAGCTTGTGAACTAATGTTACATCTTTCCAAAATATAATGTAAGACAGGCATAGAATAGACTTTCCCATTCTGAAAGAAAGGAATAGGCAAGAAGAAAGAGGTGACTGGTGCCAAGGAAGTATAAAACCTAACAGGGAAACCAACATTAAGTCATAAAGCTGGAAAATAATCTCCTTTGACTCCCTGTCCCACAGCCTGGTCACCCTGGGGTTGGGGTTGAGCCCTCAAGCCTTTGCTGTGGTCAGTCCATTCAGCAGTTCTCACAGGTTAGAGTCTAGTGCCTGCAGTTCTCTCAGGCTGGCATTGCACACTAGTAGCTCTGAAGTTCTCGAGTGTCAGGGGCAGTTCTGCTCCCACAGCTTCAGTAGGTATTCCCTGGTAAAGAATTTCTGTGGTGGCTCTGTTCCTGCAGCAAGTTTCTGCCTGAGCCTGCAGGCTTCCTGTGGCGTCCTTTGAAATCTAGGTGGAGGAAGTCATGCCTTCATAGCTCTTGCATTGTACATCCCTATAGAATTAACACCAAATGGATGCCACTAAAGTCTACCAGTTGTACCTTCCTACCAGAGTGTTGGGTCAAGCCACATCTGGGGTTACTTGGACCACACCAGGAGCAGCCAAAGAACACTGTCCTGGAATGCAGGAAGCAGGAACTCCAGGTGCCTCTGGGCAGCTAGCCTATGAAGGGCATCCTGTGCCTATTCCCCAAAGCCATTCTGCCCTCCTGGATCTCTAGGCCTGTGATGGAATGAGCAGCCTCAAAGGTCTCTGAAATGTCCATTGTCTTGATGAGCCCTTCTATTTATACTAATCTCCTTAGCAAATGGTCACTTGGTCACACCCTTGGTCTGTTCTCTTAAACATACTTTTTCATTCTTCATGTGGGCAGGCTGAACATTTTCAAAATCTTTCCATTCTGCTTTTTTTTTTTTTTAAGTTATAGATTCCATCTTTAAGTTATTTCTTTTCTCTTACATTTTACTATATATGGTTAAAAGTAGCCATGCAGATCCTTCCATATTTTGCTTAGAAATTTATTCCACCAGATAGTCTCATTCATCACTCTTAAATTCTGCCTTCCATAAAGCCCATGGGCATGGACACTGATAATAGTTTTAATCTGTGTCCCTGCCCAAACCTTAGGTCGAATTGTAATCCCCAATGTTGTAGGTGGGGCCCGGTGGGAAGTGATTGAATCAAAGGGGCAAATTCCTCATGAATGATTTAGCACCATTCCCCTTGGTACTGTCCTTGCAATAGATCATGAGCTAGTTCTCATGAGACCTGGCCATTTAAAAGTGTGTAGACCCTCCTCCCTGTCTCTTGCTCCTGCTCCTGCCGTTGGAAGGTGCCTGCTTCTCTTTTGCCTTCAGCCATGATTACAAGCTTCTAGAGGCCTCCCAAAAAGCAGATGCCACTATACTTCTTGTAAAGCCTACAGAATTGAGAGCCAATTAAACCTCTTTTTTTTTGATAAATGTCCCAGCCTCAGGTATTTCTTTATAGCAATGTGAGAACAGACTAAAGCAGGCACAATTCAGTTAATTTCCTTGCCACTTCATATAAAATGATGGTCTTTATAAAATGGATGGACATTCCTCTTTCTGACTCAGCTTTCATCAAACTGGCCATGACTTTTCATATTTCTACCAATATTCTGATCACAACCACATAAGTAATCTCTTAAAAACTTCAGATTTTTCTACATTTCTTCTTTTCTTCTGAGTTCTTATTAAAATTTCCTTTAATGTTCAATTCATGGCAGTCTAGGATTTTTCTAGCCTGCTCTTCCAAATTCTTCCAACTTCTGCTCATTACCCAGCTAAAAGCCACTTCCACATTTTCAGTTGTTATAGCAAAAGCCCCACTCTTGGTGCACATTTTCTATCTTAGTCTGTTTTTGGTTGTTAGAATAGCACAGGCTAAGTAATTTGTAAAGAAAAGAAGTTTATTTGGCTCATGATTTTGGAGGCTGAGAAGTGCAAAGTCATGGTGCTGGCATTGGCAAGGGCCTTTATGCTGTGTCATTCCATGGTGGAAGGCAGAAATGCAAGAGGGAGAGAGAGCAAGAGAGGTTGAACTCTCTTGCCCTGTCATGAATTTATTCACTCTCATGAAAATGAAACCATTCTTCCAATAGTGACATTAATTCATTCCTGAGAGCATAACCGTCATAACCTAATTAGCTCTTAAAAGTTTCACCTCTCAACACTGTTATAGTGGCAGTCAAATTTCTTTCTTTTATTTTTTTGAGACAGAGCTTTGCTCTTGTTGCTCAGACTGGAGTGCAATGGTGTCATCTCAGTTCACCACAACCTCCACCTCCTAGGCTCAAGTGATTCTCCTACCTCAGCCTCCCGAGTGGCTGGGATTACAGGCATGCGCCTCCATGCCTGGCTAATTTTGTATTTTTAATAGAGACGGGGTTTCTCCATGTTGGTCAGGCTGATCTCGAATTCCGAACCTCAGGTCATCCGTCCGCCTCAGCTCTCCCAAAACTCTGGGATTACAGGCGTGAGCCACTGCACCTGGCCAGCAATCAAATTGCAACAAGAGTTTTGAAAGGGACATTCAAATCATAGCAGTAGTAAATCTAGGAAACACGTACTGTGCATATACTTTGGCCTATTTTTAAGTTCGTTAATTCTTTCTTCAGCTATATTGTATCTACCAATGAGCCTATGAAATAATTCCTCATGTCCCATATCATGGTTTTATTTATAACATTTCCATTACATTCTTTCTTATAGCTTTAAGCTCTCTACCAGAAACCCTCACTTGTTTACGTGTGTTGTCCTCCTTTTCAACAACATCATCTGACATTTTCATTACACATATTATGTTTGCATTAAGTGAATATTTTCTATGATAGTCAACCCTTCATATCCATGGATTCTTCATCTTGGATTCAATCAATTGCAGATAAAAAAATATTTGGGGAAAAATGGTTGGTTGTGTATGTACTAAACATGTACATGCTTTTCTAAAATCATGATTTCCTAAACAATATAGAATAACAACTATTTACCTTATATTAGGTATTATAAGTAATCGAAAAATGATTTAATGTATACAGGATGATGTATGTAGGTTATATGCAAATAGTATACAATTTTATATAAAGAACTCGAGCATCTGTGGATTTCTGTATCTGCAGGGTTCCTCTTTTGGAACCTTGGCTTGAAACCAAGCCCCCACAGATACTGAGGGATCACTCTGTGACATTTTATATCCTTTGTTGATTTTTTAGTTATATTTTAACTGAATGCTCTAGAGCTTAACATATATATCTTTTTTTTAGAACTAAAAAAGAACTTATTTATTGAGGGCAAGGGGATGCAAACAATACAAAAATCAAAAGCTTGTCTGGCATTTAACTTTTCTTTCTCTGCTCGTCCAGTGGGAGTTAGATATTATTTGTGTACTTGCTAAGGGTCCTGATTGCTCATGAAATCCTTATATGGGGGAAGCTGTGGAGCAGATTCCTTAAGTGACCCTTTGGGACAACTCTTATCAGGGCCGGGGGAATTGCTCGTTTCTGCCTACTTCTTTGCCTTCTGCTTCTTGTGTACTATAAAATAGTCATTGCATGCAATGGTGAGGCCCGCAATTAGGGAAAAGAAGCTCTGGAAGCCCACTTTGCCATCTCTGCACTGGTCCAGGTCCTTCATTATTTTGTCCACGGCCAGAGGGTCTTTTTGATTTTCCAAAAATCCAGGGAACTCCTTTTCCATGAGTACTCTCAGGTCCTCCTTTGTTAAGTAGCCTTTATCCCCAGCAAATTTGTGAAATGTAAACACCATGGTTTCCATGGCATGTTCCATTTGAGATGGTATTTTGGTGTGGTCTGTTGAAGCCTTGGC